TTTTTTCCCCCCCCCCCCCCCCCCCCCCCAAAAAAAAAAAAAAAAAAAATTCTTGGGTTATTAGTGTTTGGAACATTAAATGATTTCTTGGGTTTCCATTTTATGATTTGGGAAATTGATACTAGAAAATGTACTCTAGTATACAGCCTAAATCATTGTAAGAATGATCATGGGGATTTGGCTCAGCTACTGTTGATTTAGACATCGTATTGTACCAAAACGATGTTGTTCAGCATCTCAAGAATCCTCTATGATGCCTAGTTTGGCATTTGGCATTGAGACTAGTTATATTTAAATTGGGTTGACTCGAAAAATTAGGATTGATGTTTACTTTCCTAGTGATAATTCCGTGTTTATATTTATATTGTAAATAGTAATTTAAAATTAAAGTGAAAAATATGAGAGAGATAAGGGAGAGAACAGAGAGTTCAGTGTGAATTTGTAGAATTGTGAGCGTAGGTTGGTTGAATTGTTTGGCAATTGGGATAAATAGAGAGAATAATATTTTTCAGCGGATTTTTATTTTTCAGTTGAAGTGTTTTAATATATATTTGTCAAATAATTTTATATAATGATTATAAACCAAAGCTTGAGTTCCTCCCTCACTTAAGAATTAACAAATCTACAGTTGCTCCTAATTTCTCCTTGGTTTCCAGTGAGCACATTGATGTTACCCATCTTGATCATTGAGGTCCCAAATGAATCAAAGAAATATTCTTGGTCAGAGGCATAAGCAAAGACATGTTCTCTTATCTCCCCTTCAAAATCTTGGGTGACCAGCACATTATCAGATATTAGCAATCCATTGCCTTCAATGATGTTGAGGAAGTAGTGGTTGTCGAACCTAGCCGGAGTCTTGAGATCAAGCGGCGCCAACGCCCCGTCTCTTCCGGATTTGGGACATATTGAGCTCAATATTCGCCGGAAGATTGTATTTCTGTGGTGGCCATTATTATTTTCTTCATAGTCCTCAGTGTAAACCCTCTGCCTGAAGCTCAGACATCTTGCCTTTCCCATTGTATGACTGCCTATATGTTGCAAACCCTTGTTGATGTCAATGTTCTAGGGTTATTTTAGACAGTCAGAAACCATACAGAAAAGTTGAGGAAAGGCAGGTTGTCTTGGGAACAACCACATCAAGGAGGGTTGCAAGCTTAGTTATTCATGAACAAGTTGGGATTGGTTCATATAAAAGTTTGTTCATTTGAGTTTAAATTTAATTTTAAACTCTAATAAGTCAAGCTTACGTAATTTTTTTGTTTGTTATGTCAATACATTAGTACATGATATATATAAATACGACATACAAAAATAATGTTGGTTATATATCAGAAAATATTATCTATGCCTATGAAGATAACTTTGATTTTGAAAACGAATCTGAATTTGTGCTTTATTGCAAAAATTAATGTTGCCAAACTTGAACAAGATGTTTGAAATTTCTAAAAAAAATGCAAGTTTTTAGTCTCTATGTCTGCATTGAAAATTGAAAGAGAGACAACTCTTGCATGGATTGATGATGTTTTAATTTACCTGATAAAGCCACCAAGTCTCTGGTGTCGAGACCCTGTTGTCGAAAATTGGCAATGAGGGTCCCTAGAGAAGAATTTGGAGCAGGTATGAACTGGTTGGCACCCTTGAAATCTGCTTTTAGAGAGTCTCTCCTGCCTAAGTAAACATTCCATCTGGGCCCACCTCTCTTTCGAGAAAAAAACAACACTATGTCATTTAGGAAAACCACAAGAAGTTTGCTATTGCATTGCCCACTCGAATAGAAACAATGAAAAAACAGAGCAGCATATAGAGGCATGTTGCAATACAAAGGTCTCTGTTGAAGGGTTTTCAATTCAAGTTATATGCAAGATAAATAATGAAGGGAGAGGGGGAGATGTACCAATGCAACGGCATCACGAGCAGCAATGGCTAAGATATCAGAACAGGATACTGCATCAGGACATGCCTCCTCCAATAGGTACTTTATCCCATCAATGACCTCAAATCCTCTTAGAGAATTTACATTTGGAGCAGCTTGTTTTTCACTTGTGATGCCTCCATAGTTGTCGAGCAGAACCGATGCATCGCATCCCTACAACCACCATAAAAATTGTTACACCCACCATGTGATCCTAAACTGAATACGTTTATATCATTATAGTGGTATCTCTGAGTTATTACACCCACCAAGTGGGGTTTATTATGCTCTGTATGGTGATAATACGCATCAGTTGATGATGTAAACTTGTCACACAACAGTCTTAAAGAGCATCTTCAACCCTTCTCTTCAAAATAAATAATTAAAATACATTTAAATATTACATTCACTATTTTAACTAACCATTTTTATAAATTCACTCTAACTACACTCTCTATTTAATTAACTATTATACTCAACTTTTACTAACTTTCAATAATTTAAAAGAAGTAAAACATATATATATAGAGAGAGAGAGATAGAGAAAAAAAAGGTGGAGAGAGAATTTACAGAACTCAAAAGGCTCACCACATTTGGTGAGCCATTTGGGTTAACTAGGAAATAGAGTGAATTCGAGAGAATTTTTTGTGTTTGACTGGTTAAAGTAGCTAAAAAAAAAAGAAATAGAGAGTAGGTCAGAGATGCTCTATCTAACTACTGAAGGGCCTACATGATATAGCTCATCTGATGTCATGGTGAAGCTAGCTAGCATAGCCAAGTTTTAACGAGGAGGAAGAAGAGAACTGAGCTATTTCCTATGTAGTGCCTGGTACGATACTAAAACGGGAGGAAATCATTATTTTCAATAGTATTGAGAGTCTTATTAGGCCAACTTTGTTTTGTAAATTAAGCTCCATAAAAACTAGGGTTTAGCTGTACACAGTACAATATGACCAATACGACAAAAACTTGAGAGAGAGAGAGAGAGAGAGAGAGAGAGGGTAAAACCATGACAAAACAGTCGTGGAAATGCAATCGAAGGAGTGAGGCAGCCATGCGAGGATCTTTCAGAGCTGCGATTTCAACTTGGCGCTGCACTATCTCTTCCACAATGGGGCATGATTCTTGGTAGTAGTCAAGAACAAGAACTCCATTGTCACTCAAAGTTCCAATGCCATGACACATGAAAACAAGTACAACTAAAGACATTCCCAACTGATTCATTGTTGGTGAGAACAAAACCCTCTAAAAATGGATAGCTGCAATTGGCTGGAATGGCAAGTCGAATGTACCACTAACATCTCTATATATATGGACACAAAAGTTGCATAAAGATATAGTATTGTTGGACTGTTTTAGATGTAGCTTTCTTAGTTTTCGGACCAACTTGTCTTGAAGAAATTCCAATTGATGTTATACTCAAAGTAGATACAACTAACACTATCTGCTTGTTGTCTTGATCTAGAATCCATTAGAAATGACCTCATAGAGGTGATTCACAATTAAGGGGCAACTTAGGTTTATTTTTTTGGCTCAGTCTCGGATGGGATGCCCGTCTTCAACGATGCTGACGTAACAGTAAAGTTGTTTTATAATTTTTTGGATGCTATAATTCAAGCTACGAAAATAGCATTTACTAGTACTGAATTAATTTGCACATAACCCTCCTCATATCGTACAATGCTCTTAGTCTAGTGTTATGTGGTTAAATATAATGAGTCATATTTGAATTTATAATTATAGTAAATCCGCATTCAAAAGTTAGTTTGTTATTCTTGTCAAAAGGTTGTTTTGTAAGAAATTGGACTTGCAAATATGAATCTCACTTGCTCTTCAAAACAATTAGTTCTATAATTTTAGAAATGGTTCAGTGATTGAACTTAACTTTGATAACTTAGATGCCTTAGGTTAAATCTCTTCTTATACCCCCTGAGGGTTAAACACCCTTAATTTTGAAGGGCATACTCTAACACAGTGTAAGTTACAATGATCAACTGTTAAATTAGAAAAAATAGTTGGTACAAATTTAAATACTCTGTAATTTTAAAAAAACAAACAATTGGTTCTGGGTTCTTGTGGTTCCAGGTTACCAACTTGCGACCAGCTAAGTTGCTTTTTTTCTGAAACTTTCCCTATTATACTACTTTTTCTTTTGGTGGAAAAGACACAAACCTGCATAATTGAATTGCAGCTAAGTTGACAAGTTAACACCACCGAGTAGGGTCTAATTGGGTATGCTAGCTTAATTAGGTTAGATTTGATCGAGAGTCTCGTGATCACATCAATAAGTATTTTTTTGAGTGATTTTTGAACGGTGTCCTTTGCCTTTACTCTATTATTAACGAACACAAAAAAAATAATAATATTATATTGACACCAAATTTAAAATTCAAATGATATGACAGCTGATTTTTTTAGAATCTTTATTAAGACCCAAATAATATGCCACGAAATAAAAAAAACTAAGTCAACTTTTATGTCATTTGGATTCTAAATTTTATTCTAAAATTTAATCAGTGTAATATTAATTAAAAAAAAAAAAAACAGACAAGTTAACAATTATAGGCTGCAACTTGCATCCTAATAATGATCACAAAAGGAAGAGTAAACAGAAATGGTCCTTTAACAATGAGTTTTATATTACTTTGTACTATTCTTTCAATTATTTCCGTTTTGAGTTTTTAATTGATGTCACTTTAGTCCAATTATAAATAACAACTTCAATGATCTTAGAGCATCGCCAACAGATGTTTTAAAAGAACAAAATAGTTATTTGGGAGCCAAAATTCACTCCAATAGATGCTCTTCACATTATGTAGAGTGTCACTTCAGCAATATATAAACATTATATATTATATTTTCTCAATCTCTTCCTCTCCTTTCCTCCATTCTCTCTCTCTCTTTCTTTCACTATTTCTCAAAAAAATAATACAAAGGGAATGAGAAATAATATTTAAAAGGAATAATTAAAAATATACAAAATCTGTTGCAGTGTGTATTAAAAAAGTGAATAACTAAAATAGAAAATGTTGTTTTTTGAGTAGGTGAAATACATTTTGTTATTGGAGATGCTCTTACGTAGGTCGGCGATGGTGAACCCCTTAAATGTGGTCAAATGAGATGCACATTACTAGAATTTAAAGTTTGGGACTAAAATAGTACTAATAGAAAGAAAGAAGGATAATCAAAGAGACACAAATACAAACCAAGATGATGATTACTACATTTTATTCAAGAATTAAATATATATATTCCCCATAGATATTTACAAATTCCTCCTTCAAGATAGAGCAAAAAATACAAAGATATACCACATTACTTACAGACCCATAACTCTTTCTAATTTTTTTTTTTATGTTTGGCTATGTGTCACACCTTAAAACTAATTAAAACCATAAATCTCACAAACTCTACTCAAAACTACATAAACAAAGTTCGATTCTACATGGTTGCGTGTGGGATCTAAGCAAAAACCAAAAGGAACCTAAAATCCTTTGTTGTATAAACTAACATCTTCCAGCTTTAAAAGAATTTGCGCTTCTTGCTTGTGAGTACCAACAACCTGATTGTGAAACAAAACATGACAAATGAGCACTTATCAACATAGGTTGTTTGGAATGTCTATGCAGAATAGCATGTTTCCATAAAACTAAAACAATAACAATGACAAGCTTCCATAAAACAAAAGCAATAACAATGACAAGTTTCCATAAAAACTAAAACAATAACAATAACAAGTTTCCATAAAAATTACAACAATAACAGCTATTAACTATATCTACCACTTCTTTCGGTTCGATGATCCATCCTGAAAGAGTATTCAACCACCTCTCAAATGATGTCACTCAAAAGGGAAGCTTATTTATATAAAACAAATTATAAATTGAAATGACAATAATAGAAAAAGGGTTATGGAGGAGCCCAAGAGGAATTATTGGCCTTGTAAAAGAAGTATCTGACTGAGGTCCATTAACACGTCCGGTAGTTGTTCCCAAGAGTCGCAAAGATTAGCACCATTAATTAACACAGGCCGCATTAAAAGATGGGTGTTTCTAAGGGGATTTCAACCAACCAAAGAATAGCGTTTAGAGCCCGTGTTTAAGGGTCACATGTAGGCATGGCTATCCAGTTGTTGGACCAAAACTTAGACATCCAAAATTTGTGACAACTCAAGAATTTGGAATAAGTTGGAACTAGTTCCAATAGATGACATTAAAGCAAGCATGTTTGTGTCTAGTCTATTGTCTATATGCCAAATCAAGCAGTGATACACAAGAACGATTTTCAGGTGGTGTATTGGAAGATAAGAGTATGGAAGACAAAATTGTCTGCCACATTTTCCTCGGTCAGTCTACTTGCAAAATATGCTGAAACATGCAAACCTAAAATGTCCAAAAACGATCTGCAGAATAGGATATTGCATACAATAGAAGTTAAGGTGCATATTTCCACTAAGAAAAAGTAAATTTTATTTTAAACCTGATGAAAATTTCCTAAAATGGTTTGAGCTATGGTGCTCTTTTGTATGGTTGCAGAATTAGTATAGAACAAACACAATGATGAAATCAAGATCAATGATATAAATGAATTCATCCAGTTCATTAGGACTACTAGCATCAGTAACCTTAGTTTTTTTTTTTTTTATCGGGAGCCTTAGTTAACTTACTGCGGGAATGGCATGTATGGTAACTCACCCATTGTTAAGCTTGCTTGCAAGCTATCTGCTAAAGTTCTGACTCTCCCTCTTCACCTAGGAAAATCTCAGGATGTACTACTGCACTTGTGAAATTGAGTGCCCTATGCAGCTTCCGATGATCAAAGACTTCAACTTGAACCAAGAATGTTGAACTGACAGGCCGATGATCTGAGAGCCTTATCTCTGCTCGCTTGTATGAAATTTGTTTAATGCCTTTTCCTATCCACAATATACGATCACACCTGCATAATATCACAAGTAATTGTCAACAACTGGTAGCGAAAATGGCCCATTGGCCAAACAATAAAGATAAAATGATCAAAAAAGTTACATAATAACAATTGATCCATTATTTGTCCAATCCATTATTCTACAATTCAAAGGAAATCGGGCAAAGTCACTCTCCAAAAATTAACACCCAAGTAAGTTCAAAATAACTTTTCATTCACCCCACTCGACTCACCTGACAAGTGAGTTGAGATCAAGACAAATTCTACGAAGTCAAAGTTCAAAGAAAATCCAACTTACCATGCGGGGGATCTCTTCTTCTCCCCTTCTTTTGGGTTTTCACCAACATATCTATCAGAGTTGATTTCATATTTGTAAGTGGGTGCAAAGTCTATCATCCCCTCCTTCCATCCATCAAACACATGCCCACTTCTGAGTTCTTTGCTTAGCTGCTCATACATCATGTTGTCATTGACTTTCTCATTTAAAGATAAATATGCGCATTCAACATAAAAAGATTATGAGGCATCCTTAATGCAGTGAATTCAAAACTATTGGAAAAATATCTCAAATGTCCACCGAAAAATTTGTCTAGCACTCTGTCATTCTGATCAAGAACAAGGGAGAAGTAGAAGAAAAAGAACATTAAATAATGATTCCTTGGTTAACCGATACATCAAACAATAATGTAATTTGCTTCACAAAAAAAAAAAAAAAACTTTGTATTAATCAACATAAAAAATAACACGAGACAGGCTCCACTGTAGATTCATGATATTTGGTTAAAAAAAAAGTCCTGGCCTTGAACCTTATTTAAATTACAGAATAGAGTATATATTGTTAGAATTCCTCCTTCCCTTGTTGCAAAAAAGAACTCATCAAATGGAAGTTTCACTATTTTGAGGTCCCAAAATTCTATTGTAAAAATTTTTTCCACTAGTGGGTAAAAAAATCATATTCTAGTAAATAATGTGGATCATACCTGAATTACACTCAGAGTATCCAAGTCATATCCATGAAGTTTTTTGGCCAAAATAGGCTAAATTAGCTAATATTGCAATGGAGGCTTTGTTGAGTTGAGGTACTAAGATGAGGCAAATTTTTATTTACTCATAAATTTACCAATTGTGAGTCTCACCTGATCGCTGTTGAGAAGTTCATCCCACTGCTTCTCTGCAACAAGCTTCCTTACCTCTGTGTCCAACATATTGATACGATAATTCAAATCCCCAAACCAGAATACTTGACTGTTTACACAGGCATTCAACCAAGAGTTATGTTCAACTCAAATTTCAGAAGTAAAATGATAACAAAGAAAATATCCGGTTGGAAACTTGGAACAATCAAATGATAGGTTGGTGCAAATCATGGGGGTGTCAGTTATATCTACTTTGTCAAGAAATCACAGTTTTGTAGCACCTCAAAACAAAAGTTGGTTTTCCCCTAATTCTAACCTATATAAGAAGAATAATCCTCTTTCGCTCATCCTCCTGGCCAAGCCCTACGAAATTTAGGAAAGCAAGAGTGCGAAAAGAAAGACAGCTTTCTACATGTCCACCTACATCTAACATCTTGATGTTTGACTAATCAACATGTGCACCCCATTTCTACACTTCATGTATATGTCCTCATGGATATATACCAACATAAATTGTCACAAAGACATATTCTAAGTAAATAGCTCATTTTTCCCACACATTATCCAGTATTCCAGTAATATCAAACCTCTATCATTTGAAAATAATTTTTGGAGAGATTGTTCAATAAGGACTTTACAACTGTTAATTGCTACTATCGTTCTCAATATTGGCAAGTTTAACTCTGACTTGTGTAGATATGCTCCTGAGATCAATCACCATAAGAACATGTTAAAATATATCCAACTCGAAATCAATGATTCATTCACAGGATTCATATATTAGTGTGGGAGGCGGTCCAATCCCTNCCTTATTTAAATTACAGAATAGAGTATATATTGTTAGAATTCCTCCTTCCCTTGTTGCAAAAAAGAACTCATCAAATGGAAGTTTCACTATTTTGAGGTCCCAAAATTCTATTGTAAAAATTTTTTCCACTAGTGGGTAAAAAAATCATATTCTAGTAAATAATGTGGATCATACCTGAATTACACTCAGAGTATCCAAGTCATATCCATGAAGTTTTTTGGCCAAAATAGGCTAAATTAGCTAATATTGCAATGGAGGCTTTGTTGAGTTGAGGTACTAAGATGAGGCAAATTTTTATTTACTCATAAATTTACCAATTGTGAGTCTCACCTGATCGCTGTTGAGAAGTTCATCCCACTGCTTCTCTGCAACAAGCTTCCTTACCTCTGTGTCCAACATATTGATACGATAATTCAAATCCCCAAACCAGAATACTTGACTGTTTACACAGGCATTCAACCAAGAGTTATGTTCAACTCAAATTTCAGAAGTAAAATGATAACAAAGAAAATATCCGGTTGGAAACTTGGAACAATCAAATGATAGGTTGGTGCAAATCATGGGGGTGTCAGTTATATCTACTTTGTCAAGAAATCACAGTTTTGTAGCACCTCAAAACAAAAGTTGGTTTTCCCCTAATTCTAACCTATATAAGAAGAATAATCCTCTTTCGCTCATCCTCCTGGCCAAGCCCTACGAAATTTAGGAAAGCAAGAGTGCGAAAAGAAAGACAGCTTTCTACATGTCCACCTACATCTAACATCTTGATGTTTGACTAATCAACATGTGCACCCCATTTCTACACTTCATGTATATGTCCTCATGGATATATACCAACATAAATTGTCACAAAGACATATTCTAAGTAAATAGCTCATTTTTCCCACACATTATCCAGTATTCCAGTAATATCAAACCTCTATCATTTGAAAATAATTTTTGGAGAGATTGTTCAATAAGGACTTTACAACTGTTAATTGCTACTATCGTTCTCAATATTGGCAAGTTTAACTCTGACTTGTGTAGATATGCTCCTGAGATCAATCACCATAAGAACATGTTAAAATATATCCAACTCGAAATCAATGATTCATTCACAGGATTCATATATTAGTGTGGGAGGCGGTCCAATCCCTATGTGGGACAAGTCCTAACACTTGCCCATACTAAACTGAATGGAGAAAAAAAAAACGAGCCTTGACAACACTGGCTTCCCGAAACCCAGCCTGTAATTATTATATTTCCTCGTACATAAGCAGAAGATTAGTTCAGTGGGATGGCCTGTAGAATGCCACCCCTGTCATGTCTGGTAGAAGCTATGTTATTATGTTAAACATCCAAATCAAAATTCAATAGTTAATAAAATAAAGAAGCCCATAGGGTCATATTCTAAGTCAGGAGGCCTTACATACTGATGTCGGACACGCTTTACAGAACATAAATAAAAAATTAGATGACATATGCCAAGTCCCTAAAGAAATTCAATATCAATATTACCATCTTTTCAATAGGAAACTCATTCTTTCATTGTCCCTTTTAATAAAAAAGAAAAATAAAACAAAAAATCAGTTTTAAAGTATCTTCCATAATTTTTCCCAACAAACACTGTTTCCAAAAACTAATAAAAAAATGGTGGTATGCTGAGTTTAATCCTTTTTGTTGATTCTACAACTTTGATTTGACAGTGATAGCACAACAATTTTCAAGGCTCTAATTAATGTCAATGCAATCACAAACTGTTCTATTATTTGAGAAAAAAGGCAAAGGTATTCTTCTAAACCGGTTTTATACTTCAAATCACTTTATTATATCAAAACATAAATATATAAGGATTAGATAAGTCAATAACAGAATCAAGCTTGCACACACAGAATATGTTGCATAAATCGTATTTACAATCAAAAACACTTACTCATGAGATGGAATTGTCTGTGGTTGATCAGTGTCAAAGATAGGTGAGAAAAGTGTACGTCTTAGGATCTCATACACATCCGAATTACGCCTCTGTTCATACCCATCCTTTTGACCAGAGGTCAAATGAGAACAAACAAAGCATAGGCGAGTTTGAAACAAAGACATGCTGACAGAAACCGATCCCTGCGTCAACAAACATTAATTAGTTCGACATACCCTAATGACAAGGGCAATGTGTTCAATATCTCATCAGTGCATATGTAATAGTGAAGGGTTCAGACATTTGACCACCTGCAATCACCAGCAGTAGCCAATAATGCTTCTGTTTTCAGCAGAAACCCAAAAAACTGATTTTTCAAAACTTCCATCACCTTGAAACAGAAATAAAAGCTACATGTAGAAATATGTCATTATGCCAGGCTGGTGATTGCAGTGAAAGTGGTAAACAAGAAAATAATTGTGCAGAGGTAATTAATCTATCAATTAAAAGGCCTATCCTGAATTGTTTTTTCCAAAAATGTCTCAAACAGTTGTTTGCTGAAAATGTATCATCATAGCTATAATTACGTAGGATTTCTAATTCTCGAAGGTTGATGTTTTCTTTTCTTTCATTTACTTTTTTGTACATGTTTAAGGTGGGGGTGGGGGGACTGCTCTTCAAGTTTGAAACGGTGAACACCTGTATGTATATTGGTGTATTTTGGACCAATAGGTTAAGACACCTTAGCATGAAAGGAGAAGTGAGATACCTTGTTGCCCATGTAGCCCATAAGCCCAATTCCAACAGGGGAGACTTTCAAGTTGTTTATATGTCTCCTCAATCTCCTACGGACCCAAACTGACACATATATCCCTACCATCTGCTTACTGACGATTCTCACATACATAGGATGTGAATTTACTCCATTTTTTGAAATGGGGATTTCATCTTTGACCACTGGTATTTCTCGAAAAGAGTCATCTTCATCATCAGAAAATTCGTCGGAGACAGAATCAAGAACTTCAGGCCCATCTTGCTGATCCATCCAGATTAAGCCTAAGTTTCCAGAGCTACGATGCACCCTTTTCAATCCACCATCATAGAATCCAATATTCTGAGGACTGGAAGTCAGAGGCTGCTCCATCCAGACAGAACCAACTCTCGCAGAACTGCTCAATACTCTCCGCAATTTCAGACCAGAAGAAAGAACTTGAGGTGTTGTGTCCAATGAACGTTCAGGCCAGTCCAATCTAATGTCACTATCAATGCCATATATTCTCTTTACTTGGTGGTTCTTCCCCATGCCAATCGTCAGACTGTCACTAACATTAATAGTGTCTACAGATTCCTCAACCATCATATACGAAGCGGCAGTATCAACCGCATCAGCAAGTGTATCAGCGGCAGAAGAAGTCCTCAACACTGGAGAGGGTGGGGCACTATAGCTTTTGTGTTTGGTTTCAGGCTCCAATGTCTTGTTCAAGGTCCCGCGAATGATAGCCTCCCACATTGGGATTGGCCTTCTAGTCTCTGCTCCCAGCACATTCCCAGCATTTAAAGGGACCACCTCTTGGAAACTATAAAAGAGAATTATAGATTCATCCTCAAGTCATAATCATAATGAAGATTAACAGGTGTCCTGTAGCGACATAAATTTAGTCATAATAAAATTAGACATTGCCAACTAAATTGGAAAGCTGATGCTTAGAAACACTCCCAGAATAAGATGAATACACCAGTATCCCTATAATATTTAGGTCGCTAGTATTTTAAGGGAAAGGTGGAAATAAGGTGCAGGATAAGCCACGGACATCCGTAAAACAATGCTTACGATGTTCTATTCACAATTTGAACTAGGGCATGAACACTGCAGAAACTGCAGTCTGGGCACAAACTGGGTCAGGTCAAAGAACTTGACGCATTTGTGGCCTGCACATGGGACGTACAAGGAGACCCATCAACTTTTTCAGCCCTATGGACTTCCACAAGTATGACTGGATGGCACATATTTCATGTTTTGCAGCAAGGCAAATCACATATCAGCACTAGTGCAAACAACTTGCTTTGTGTATTCGAGCATAAAGATCACAGTTAGCATTTGGACATCCTAGCACTTGAAAGAACAAATCTCTGATCTAGATAATCATAACAAATGAACACAGAATCATTTATAGGATTCCGTGAACAGATGAATGATGAGTATTGCCTCAAACTTAGTAAGGCATAGTGCGGCAGAGTTGGTGTGATGCTAGGAACTAACTCAGAGACATCAGATCCTATTTATGTGTTTGATCTGTCCTCAGAAAGTAGTATACCCTCATGAAACCCCCACAAAATGGAACTATCCCCCCAGTCCAACCACACCCATTGCCTTATTAACTTGGATTGTATTTCGTCTTCAAGTTGTTTTCTATGAAAAGAACTAGTGCAATTTTACTTAATAAGAGAAGATTGTTGTATTTGTATGATTCTCATGGCAGATCAACTACAATCCTTCCTTGTCATTTGGACGGCTATTGAAAGAAAAATCACCTGAGTTATAGCCCCATCAATACATACTAGCTCTAGATATGCAGATACACCTTTAGAAACAAAAAATACAGCAGACAACTCTAGGAGCAATATTAAAACTACCAAAGGAGACCATATGAATTCGGTGGTTATATGTCTTAGAACAGATGCACTAATTTCACCTAGTACTTACCCAAGGATATAAATATCGGCTGGTTCTTTCATAGAAAGCCACTCCTCAATCTCAAGGTCCTCATATGGAAGTCTTCCAGCAACATTCCAAGTGCCTACTGTCACCCTGCAGGAGAACAAATATTACAACATAGCCAAGAGAGCGAACATCAGTGACTGGGATTTTATTACAAGAAAGACAGAATTCTGATGCTATGATTTTAGAGCCAAACCGAACCTCACTTCTTTTGCATTTATATATTGAGCACGCAGAGTTTCTGATTTCCCTCTCTTGTGTCTTTGCAAATAGCCTTTCGAATTTGTCCCTGAATAAATAGAATCATCAACACAGACACACAACTGTAACTTTGAGATATACAAGGTCATCAGACAACCAAAGGAGTAAAAGAAAAAAAGTATGTTTCATGTTTTAGTAAAGCTGATTGAAGGAAACTTCAAAAATTAGAAGTTCCAAGCTTCATCCAAAATGTCACTATATAGTACAACAAATTATAGTTAATATGCCCTCCACTTAAGAAATACATAGCTCAAATTATCAACTGCAAGTGCAAACAACATACTAGAATACTAAATAAGAAAGAACAGCATAAAGACGAAAGTTTTCTAATCATATAGCTTTTTTGAAGCAAAATTTCTTAAACAAAACTAGGCACTGCTAAGAAGATTTAAGCAATAGAAATACGTGATAATAAAGGTTACATCGCAATAAATGAAGAGAAGACATAAATCTATGAATGTGTGGTTTCAAAGATCCTATTGCTATAAATGAAGTCAGTATTTCATAATGACAAAGCAAAATCACCGAAATTGAATTTAAGTACTACCTGAAGTTTGAATTGGGAATTTGCATTGTTCCCAATGGGTTCTAAAGGCATGATCCTCACCAACATGAATTCCTTCATCTTTGACAGAGTAAGCTGTAAGTCGCAAAGAAAGAAAACGATCAAGCAGAGAAAAAAGCGAAAAATGAATTGTTATAGTGGAATGGAACTACCCAAAAAAACCACAAACAAAAGAGTTGTCATGGTGAATTTTTGAAATCCATACCATCATCCTCGCTCTCTGTTTCTGTGTCAACTTCATCCTCACTAAAATCATACACCTTTGGCTTAATATTTAGCCATTTTTTCATTACAATGGAGGGCCAAAAGGTCTGCAAACAAATGCAATTGCCAAGTATGTATAAATGACCCATAGTTGAACCCAATATCAATGAAAACAGATCCAAAAAGGTTCTAATGGACATTCAAGCATACCTCAGAACGTTTTCCTCTCCGGGTTTTCATTGTCCCAATCCCAAAAATCCAAGAGTGAAAGATTAATAATAATAGGGTAACTTGTGCAAAAGCTGTTCTTATTTATGCAAGCAAGTGACACAGGCATACAATTGTCAGTATTGTTGAGGTTCATAGGTTAATAGTTTTATAAGACATTACAATACAGGGTGTGTATGGGTAGGGACGTCGACGCCAAATGCAAAGAAGATTCCTACTATGACCAAATAGAAAGGACATAAAAAGTAATGGTCAAGCTAAACAGACATCTCTAACCTCAACTTGCCAAAAAAAAAGAACAGAGTGGTCCTCACACCTCCATATTTTTCTCATAGAAATATAAGAGCATGATATTGTTGAAAATTCAAGTGATCGCAATAAAAGAACTGACCTAAAATTTTGAATATCCCTCATCCCTTCCCCCTTAAACGAAAAAAGAAAAAGCTCCTCACTCACTCCACCTAAAGTCCAAATCAACTTGAGCCACCAATTACAAGTAGGTAGTTATCTCTTGGCCAATCTAAGCTATGATGTTGATAAGTAAAGCCCGCACTGAATAAGCCAAAACACTAGCTGTGATTAAGACTAGAGATAACATGTAAACACACCGCCTAACAAACAGATTTCGTGCAATACATCATACCATCAACAGCTAAGATTTGCAAAAGACCCCACCCCCAATATATGGTATTTTTCCAATATACAAGCATAAAAAAATAAGGATTTGACACTAGAATATAAGAGTACGAGTCAATCGGGTGTTTTATAAGTTAATAAACAATATTATTTTTAGAACAGCTGTAGATTATTTGGTAAGACGGTCGGTACTTATATAAATGTGAAGGAAAATACATATTGTATATGCAATTTGTGTGTGTGTGTGTGTGAGAGAGAGAGAGAGAGAGAGAGAGGTACCCCCTACCCATGAAGTGAAGTGAAGTGAAGTGAATCAAAAGGAAGACCTTGCAGAGCTGGGTCCAGAGCACTATACGAGGAGATTGATGAACCACAACTTTTGAGACAAGCGAAACCCCTGGCTTCATGTGGGGTATAACTTTTCATCACAGCCATGAAAAATAGAATAAGAAAGAAATGGGAAAGTCGTTGTGATGTTCTGGACATACCTTTTTTTGAAAGAAATTGTAGGAATCATTTTTCCTTCACTATGTGGACACTGGAAGGTTGTGATTTATTTTTCTTTGATCCATGTGGACAAGATGGCCGTAGCTTTCATGGAGAGAGAGGAAGAGAGTTATGCATGCAGCGGTAAGCGTGGGTTGATAAGATGATAGTAACCCATTTCTGGGCTGGTGCTTATGCATCCAACACTGATCTGCATCAACACAGTTTGTTTACTGGTCTCGATGTTTGGATTCAAATTTTCATGACAAATTTGGTGGAGCTAAACTCTCTCGTCAACGTCTTCTCGAAAGTGCAATGAGATTTTTTATACATAATTATGTGATGCTGAAAGACTATGCTGCACATTCATATTATGGGCTTGTTTTCCATCGTTATTCTTCTATTTTAAAATATATTTTTTAAACACGTTGTTTATAAAACAGTGAGACTATAGTAATTCTCTTTTACGCTAAAAATGTGTTTTCGAATTGAATCATAGGGTGCAACTTGAACAAGTTGAGAGATTAAACATAATCCAATCTTAAGTATAAAATTGTTAACTCTAACCCAAGATACTCAACTCGATTATTGTCTAAATTAATTTCAAACAAGATCGGGTTACCTAATTCAAGTCCAATTCGGATTGGCAATTCATGTTTAACAAATATTAATCTTAAATTGGGTGTGAGTTTTTATACAATATTAAATTATTACATAGGCCTACATGATCCACTAAGATAAAATCCATCAAGATAACTTATTAAAGATATAAGTGTAAGCTTTTTTTATATACAAGAGAGGGGAGAAGTCATTTGATTTGTCTATTTGAACTCAATTTCAGCAATTCAAGTTGAGTACGTGAAACTGAGTCTTATCCGAATTCAATTCGGGTTGAAGTTTTTTAATTATAATCCTAACTCTAAAAATTTCAACCCTAGCACTTTTTTTTTTGGTTAATCCGTTCAAGTTGCAACTCAAATTGAATCGGCAACTACAAAAAAAACGTGACTGTAAAACACGCCACATTTTCTTTTGAAAATGTGTATTATAAAAACCATTTTAAACGCAAATCTCATCTAAAGGTCTTGATAGACAAATATTGTCTAGAAATTATATTTAAACAACCATGATCCCGTGACCAATGCTCTTATTTTCCGAAATTGTAAACCTGCTTTGTTTTCTATAATTAATTAAATATTTTCAAATCTGAGTAGTTGTAATCTTTGGCAAATTATAAATATCAATTAAACTTTAAAAATACCAACAAAAATCAAATCCTTCCCGTCTAAATCTACTTTGGGCGAACAACATCACTAAAATCAAACCTTTTACGTTCAGATTTACGATTCATTCAACTTCAAGGCAATATCACTGGACTACGTTTATACTTTGCGGACACTAATTTGAAAAAGAACCAAAAATGGCAGCAGTGCAGTGCCACAGCTGTTCATCACTTTGGGCGAGCAAGAATGCAGCTACTGTTTAGCGATGTAAAGTCTCCAATTAGTCAACATCAAAATCCCACACTTGACTATAAGCTACGTCGTTTTCCAGAGCCTGTCTACACCTTCTTGGACCGACACAAACAGATGGTATATTTGACCAACGAAATTTTTAATATTTTTTTTAAAAAAAAAATTGCCCAAATTCTACCAAATTTATGAGGCAATGAGCTCCGTTGACTATAAATATAAATATTTTTGAAGTCGGCCAAGCATTTCAGACATACAATTAAATTATTTTAAATTAGATTGAGATTTTCATAAAAGATTGAGTGTTAAGTGTTTAATTCATAAAATCAATACACTGAATCTTCATGGATGTGGTTGAAAAGGGTTCTTGATTAACCATAAAAAATGTTAATTTATTCTATTAAATGATTGTTAATTGTATAATATTTGAGCTTAAACATGGTATATTCTTGGATTTTCCAGAAGATAACCAAAAAAAAAAAAAANGATAAAATCCATCAAGATAACTTATTAAAGATATAAGTGTAAGCTTTTTTTATATACAAGAGAGGGGAGAAGTCATTTGATTTGTCTATTTGAACTCAATTTCAGCAATTCAAGTTGAGTACGTGAAACTGAGTCTTATCCGAATTCAATTCGGGTTGAAGTTTTTTAATTATAATCCTAACTCTAAAAATTTCAACCCTAGCACTTTTTTTTTTGGTTAATCCGTTCAAGTTGCAACTCAAATTGAATCGGCAACTACAAAAAAAACGTGACTGTAAAACACGCCACATTTTCTTTTGAAAATGTGTATTATAAAAACCATTTTAAACGCAAATCTCATCTAAAGGTCTTGATAGACAAATATTGTCTAGAAATTATATTTAAACAACCATGATCCCGTGACCAATGCTCTTATTTTCCGAAATTGTAAACCTGCTTTGTTTTCTATAATTAATTAAATATTTTCAAATCTGAGTAGTTGTAATCTTTGGCAAATTATAAATATCAATTAAACTTTAAAAATACCAACAAAAATCAAATCCTTCCCGTCTAAATCTACTTTGGGCGAACAACATCACTAAAATCAAACCTTTTACGTTCAGATTTACGATTCATTCAACTTCAAGGCAATATCACTGGACTACGTTTATACTTTGCGGACACTAATTTGAAAAAGAACCAAAAATGGCAGCAGTGCAGTGCCACAGCTGTTCATCACTTTGGGCGAGCAAGAATGCAGCTACTGTTTAGCGATGTAAAGTCTCCAATTAGTCAACATCAAAATCCCACACTTGACTATAAGCTACGTCGTTTTCCAGAGCCTGTCTACACCTTCTTGGACCGACACAAACAGATGGTATATTTGACCAACGAAATTTTTAATATTTTTTTTAAAAAAAAAATTGCCCAAATTCTACCAAATTTATGAGGCAATGAGCTCCGTTGACTATAAATATAAATATTTTTGAAGTCGGCCAAGCATTTCAGACATACAATTAAATTATTTTAAATTAGATTGAGATTTTCATAAAAGATTGAGTGTTAAGTGTTTAATTCATAAAATCAATACACTGAATCTTCATGGATGTGGTTGAAAAGGGTTCTTGATTAACCATAAAAAATGTTAATTTATTCTATTAAATGATTGTTAATTGTATAATATTTGAGCTTAAACATGGTATATTCTTGGATTTTCCAGAAGATAACCAAAAAAAAAAAAAAACTAAAATTTTCTATATTTACACTACTATTGTTTAAATTAAAGAAAAAAAAGCACAAGCATTCAATCAAAAAACGCTACTGCATTTGGTTCATGTGTAGAGCTCGTGTGCTAGAAAACTATATTATATCATTCCTTATATCCAACGTAACCCAACTGAATTCAAGGCAGATGTTCTACTAAAAATGAAAATAAAACATAAATATCAAAAGGGATTTTCACAACGATTAAGTAGGTGTTTGAAGAAAAAGGTCAATCGATGAGGTTGTTTAAACTCTAGTTGGACTAGTACTAAATGGGGGTGAAATAAGGGTCATACTTGGCAGCTGATAGGCTCAGGTTTTTTGATTCAAGACTGTTCGAGGTAATTTACGCACACCTTAACTAATTCATTTTTCAATTCAATTAAAGATAAACTATTCACGTCGAAACTAAAGTATACATTACGTGAGGTATGTTTTGAGAACTCGAGATGGAGCAGTGTTCATGTCCTGTTTAGTGTATCAAATGCATTTGAGTGATAGAGGAATCAAAGAAATACCAGAACCACCCCCACCACCGCCTACACCCACTACCATCATCCATGACATGAGAATCCAAACACAAGCACTAAAATGTATTTGCATGTAATCCAAATTTAGCAGTTTTTCTCCAAATGGAGAGACAGAGATGGAGAGAATTGAATGGGGCTTCCCTCTCCAATCACATTCTGGGATGCTGGATGAGAAGAGTAGGTTGGAGGAGGAGATAAGAGAGCACCAAACACTGAAAATGACATCCACTCACCCACCTTTTCCCTAGTTGACGAAAATGGGGACGTCTCTGCAACATCAATGACTCAGAAAGAAAGAAATAAATAACATTCTCCCATTAATACCCCTCATATATATATATACAAGAACTTAATGAATTTTCGTCATTAAATTATTGGTAAATTTCATTCAATATTAAAACTCCTTGCTAACACAATGATTAAAATGTAATTAATTTCTCTAGTTAAGTCTAAATAGCATTTCTCAATTTTTTTACGACTGCTGTATCTTAGAGCAACTCCAACCAAGCCTGTTTTTCCTTTTGGGGGGCAAGAATCCATCTTGGATTAAGAATTTACCTAACTGTTACATCCATTAAAAATCTAAAACCATTATCAACAAAAAAGGTGCTAGAAAGGGGTTTCGAAAGAAATCTTAAAAGAAGAAAAAGGATGCAGCAAGCAAACCCGTTAAGCTTCAATTGAGGTCGCTTTATTGATAATAAATTCCCACAAGGGTACCCTTCCTCGATAATTTACAACAACTGCAACTGATGCCCACACCAAACGAGATAACGCAATTGGCTTAGAATTCGTAATGATCTGGAACATGTTTCAGTCTTCCTTCCTGACCCGACTCCTGCTTGGTGTCATTGGCATATAACTAGCAAATGCTACTACGATGCACACCATATCTAGTCATCGTATTTTGCCTTAACCTGATTCATCTAGAGTTAAACCCATTTCTAATAAAGAGGTAGCATCGATAAGTTTCAGATTGCAATAAGCCACACGGTCTTTGGTTTAAATTCCAAGCGCACATCAGAATGAGTTATCATATGTAGCTCACTGAATAAACATTAGCAAAATGTAGACGCCATTTAAATGTGGACAAAAGTGAACCAACCTGTAGCTAAACTCTCTCAGTCAGCATTATGAAGCTCCTTGGCTGTTTTCCACCTCGTACAAAAACCTCAACCCGTCTTCGATTCCACAAGGGACCCAACACTAGCAAATAATTTTACACGCCAAATGGTTATGCATTCAAAGGGAAAGATGTCCTTCAAAAAAAAATCAAAGACTGGGTACTAGGACATATGTGAAGCTACTGAAAAAGGGGTTTGTAAGACTCAACAAAGATACAGTATTCTGAACACACACAGTTCTCACACCAGTCAGTGAAAATCAGTTTCCAGAACTGGACCCAATTCCCAATTTCCGCAAAACACAGATGATTATCACAGGATGGTGCACCGACTGCGACTGCTTTCCTCGGCTGGTTGTGCAGCAGCTTGCTGGTACCTCTTTGACTCAGATGGGTTGTATGTATACTCGGCAGTATCAAGCCCATACTGGTTTATATGCAGCATATGAAAACATCAAAAGAGCGTCAAATACTAGAATTAGAAGGTATCCATAAAGATGCAGTTAAATCATATGGTACTCCGTCAATTGTATGTTAAATCATATGGTACTCCGTCAATTATATAGCTTAACACGCCAACAGGGGTGCCCATTTGGCACTCCATCAATTGTATGGCAACTCGATGGCACATAAATAGTCAGATGCAATGAATATCAATTCCAACCCTAAACATGTACGACATATGCAACTAATGCTGTTTATCTAAGTGCCTGAGAAGTTGTTCAGGAATAATGCAAAACCTTCAGATTGAACACTCAAAAAACAAAGTGCTCCGACTTTCGGAACGTACAAAATAGGCACAGAACCTCTCTAATGCTGGGCCTAGATGCTATATTCATAGTGACATGTGGAATATAGGATACTGAGAATCGGCAAATTAATTAGTCAAACACTAAACAAGCATATGTAGAAGTTACAATAGAATTTCGCAAACCATTAAACAACCATCTTCCAGGAAAGGATTTCGATTAAGGCAAGCACCGCAAACCAAGAAAAGTACAGCAAAGCAGCCATTTTTAACGTACAACTAATTCGTACATGAGAACCAAGAGATATTGAATATGAAAAATCAAGCAGAATTGGTTATTACATAGTCAAAAGAGTGGGTTTCAGTTAGAACTCCTTGTAAAGTTTAATGCTACTGTCACGCTGATCAACATTGCCATGCTGTTAAAAACAATTCAAGACAACCACATGGAGAAACCAGAATGTTACTTAAAAAAAACCAAGAGATTTCACCTTCTCCCTCATACGTGTACTCCATGCATCAGTTCTGCTGGGACGATTATCAAGGGTACCAGCAAGTGGAACAACTGTAGCTGGAACTGCTGGCCTGTTGTTGATTAATGTCTGCCGAATTTGTTGCCTTGGGCCACCCATATACTCATCATCACTATCATACTCTGCTGGTCTATTTGCTGGCCTTACCAAAAGAGCTAACAAGAATACCAGGGCCTGGAATTCCACGGGCAGCCATAAAATGGAAGAATTAGACACCAGAGAAAAATGAACCAAGCCATTCAATTAACCATAGCTTTAAAGTCCCAACAATTCTGTAAAATAAGGTCATCCTTGCAATTCTGACAAGCAACACTTCCATGTTATTAAATTTCTATGTGGCTTACCACCATATTTCAGAAACACTCCCGCGTTGTTTGCCAATCAGACACCACAACAGACCCAACAAACATGTTGCATTTCCTGTTGTTCTGAGGTTGGTATGTCCAATATACTAACACCGACACATGCATCAATGTCATTATCAAGCAGCAACATAGCACAGATACTTGTGCACAGAAGGCATATTATATCACAAAACATCTCTGATACATCTAGTTTTCTTCTCTAATACTATATCTTTATACTGTAAACTGTAAACTGTAAACTGTAAACAATAGAAAATGGACTACAGGAGTTTAAACACAAGTCAAACATTTTTTCAACAATCCCAGACGTTTGAGACACATGGGATATGACAACATGGTTTTTTTTTGGTGCCGATCTCCTACATGACAATAATTTTTTTAAAAAAAATCTATCGAAAAATCTTTAAAGCTAAGTGGCAATAATACATTTTGTTTAAAAATACATTTTTTTTAATGACTATAATACATTTTTTATTTACAAAAATAAAATAAAACCATAGAGCAGTTAATTGACAATTTCTAATGTCCATAAATTAGCAATTAAAGGACGATGTACTTGTCTACAGAAAGAGAATGAAATTCGACACTGCTGTGAGCCTTAAGCAATCTTTCCAGTACTGTCATAAGTAGAACATCTCTAATATCTCACAATCACCATTAGTCATGCTCAGGTTCAGTCATGTGGTCAGACAGCACCACAACAGGCCATGTAAGTAATGTACTAAATGAATAACCCACAGAAACATGAACTAGTTTTACAAAAGAAAGTTACAAAGAAGGTGTTAATCATATAAATATATACTCTCCTCCAGTTCACAGCCACCTAATATTCCTGCAACTTCCATAGAGAGAGGCACAGGGTTCAAACCTAGTCAAGATGTAGGTAGGTTCGTCCTAATATGCCCATGCTTAGAATAAATAAATGATTATATAAACAATAGGATAGGCAAATATAAAAGGAAGAATGCAAGAGAATCAGAAGACAACAAATAACAGAAACAAGCTGCACAATGCATATCAAATTTCAGCTCATAAAACCAACTTTTGACACCAACGCTATCGATTTTAAGTATGAATAACACTGATGTTTTCAATCTCTTGAAACCAAAGGGTAGCAACATCAACTACCTTATTCTTTTCTAGCAATCAACTCTCAAAGGTAAGGGGACTACCATAAGGGACAATAGTTGGGAAATGTAACATGCCTGAGGATGAAACATATGAAATAAAGTGTGCTCTCACTTTTCTGCATCTGCAACTCTTTTCCAAAAAATAATATAATATCCAGAGACCCTAACAAGGGTATTATGCTTACCTCCAAAATAACAGCCCCAAGAGCAACCCATTTGACAATTTTCCAGTTCTCTTCCAAAAAGTCATATATCATATCAAAATCTCCAGTTTTGTCGGTTGGAATATCCTGAAACACATAGATGTTGCACCTAATTAGATAACCAAATAAATCATCTTCATTTTCAAAACTCAGAACACTATTTTAGAACACTCACGGCTTTCCAGCTTTTGTCGAAAAATATGAAAGCTGCACATCCCAGTTCTAACAAGATCAAAAATATCACCAATACTGAATACTGCATGGGCTTAAGGAATCCAATCATCCTTAAAGAAGAAGGCGACGAAGTAGGAGAAAATGAATGCTTATGATATCACAAAGCAAAGAGCTAATAAGAGCAATTATTATGCCAACATAAAATTTAAAATGGATACAAGTCCATTAGACATATTCAGGCAATGATATCATGGTTCCAGTGATACAGAAATAAGAGCAATCATTGTGCCAACATAGAAGTGTACACATGGTGCGGCAGAATATCATCATTGTCACACCATAGTTGATATGTAGGCCTCTCATTCCATCGAAAATAACATGATATTACCCCTAGAGTTCATGTATATGTTTATTTCAACTGAGGAATAAAAGGGCAATTAGGATACACATGTCAGGCAGCAGCCATTCTTTGTCGCTGTTCCAATGCAACCAAAACAAGATACAACGAAGAGAATAGCACCAATACCAATGAATACATATATGAACCTGCAAAGCCAAAATCATTAGGTAACTTTTTATAAGTTCCTCTAATCATCTCAAGCTTGACAAAGCATGCCAAGCTTTGGTCATCATAATAACACAAACTAATTTCAGAAAAATAGGAATAATACCAAGGTTTGGGCAGGTTATCGAAAATGCTGCTCGACAGAGACAAAGCTATGAGCATGGGCCGACTGAGCTGCACGAACTCGCGACTTGAAGGTGCTGGACCTGTATCATCAGAAGAAGCACTTTTGTACTCCACAAACAGGTAGATCCCATAACCCACCATGGCCAGACCCATAAGAGTCAACAAAAAGTTCAGGAGCTTCAATAGGCACTCCAAGCACCCCCTACACGCCATTCTCTGAAATCCCTCCCTCAATTCCCCTTATGACAACTCTTATCAAAGCCCTTCTAATTCATCAATTCTTCAATAATCTTCTACAACATAGACCCACCCACCTTAATGCGCAAATATGTCCATCAAACATAAAACATATACACACATATATCAAAAGAAAGCTTCTTGTAAGACATAAAAATTACAGAAAACTACTATTTGCTTGTTTAATCATTCATGTGCGCACTTGTTGAGATTAAAGAATCGTACAAGGAAGAAACAATTTTCCCGAAATCATACCATAACCTATTTTACGTCGAAACAAACAGGACCTCACTAATCAATCTAGGCATAATGGAGTCGAATTTTGATTATATCATGGTCTGATTGTGGAAGGATTACGCAATGCACAGGTGATTCCCAGAAAAATTGATTCAGAATCTCGAGAACTATTGAGTGAATTAGTTTTCACGGAAAATTGAAGTCCGAAAAACAATTACGAATTATTATATAATTATCAGGTAATCTGTTCTTAACTATCTCAAGTCTGAATCAGATCGAGAGAGACATAAATCGAGAAACTTACATGTACGTGAGATAGCTGGAAGCTTCAAATTGCGAGCCTCAAAGATTTGAAGATAGAGAGAAGGAAAAAGGCCAGAATGCTTTTCTAATGGGTTCTCTGTTATCGCCAGATGGCCATTTGATGCGGGCGCTTATCTTTTTATCATGCACAAGAATCAAAATTTTGTATTAAAATTACACAAAAGTCTGAAATATTTTTATTTTTAAGGAGTTCGAAATGAATTGAAATTCTAATATTTTAAATTTTTCATAATATTTTAAAAAAAATTATAATGTTTCAATGTAGTTATACAATTGCTTCAAAATATTTGAAGGTATTTTAATATATTTTAACCAATAATTTTGAAAAATAATTTTAAAATTTTTTTTTTCATTCTGCATTTGAAATGGATCAAAACATTTCTGTTTCCTTTGTAATTGAAACAAAGAAAAGGGGTGTAAATGTAATTGTTTGAATTTGAGGGTCTGCATTGTATAAAGATGCGGCGCCCTGAAGGTTTCTTTTTTGTGTACTCTATAAGGCAAGGGAAAACGACGTCGCAGTGTGGCTGATGGTCCACTTTCCCGCTTTTTCATTTTCTCTATGGTTAATTATACTTAGGACACCAAAGGTTGTCTTGAATCACAGAGATTCCTTTCTTGACTGGAAAATAACAAATTGACTCCCTAAAATTTGGTCTTCTAAGGATTAGTTCATTGCCATATGTTTTATAATTGTCTAAGGGCATCTCTAATAGGTTCTCTATTTTCACACAACTATCCTTTTTTTTTTTTTGGTTCAACAGACAAAGGGATGTCTAGGCTAATTTACAGTATCTCGACTAATTTTTTCTTCAATCCAATCCAATTTATTATATCGAAAAATAATTTTTCAATATTACACTTCTACTTTTCATCAAATTACTCACATTTTGTTTTTGAACGGGAAAATACCCACAATTTAATTGATTTAATCTATAAGAACATCTCAAATTCTAACTCAAACATAAAATTTTTTACTAATATCGACCTAATTTTGAGTAAAAAATTTAGTCGAGATGGCTTATCATACCTGCATCTGAGCTTGAACTGACCAAACATGTCCAGCAGATGGGCTTGTCAAATAGGCCATAATCCACTAAAGATGGACGGAGGGCAACCTGATTTACTTCCTAAAAACCCAAAACAGCCCTGAATATCGATCCAGTCAAAATTGACTGGACCATATCAGCTGGTCCAACTTGGAGTTTTGCTATAAGATGGAATTTGAAATTGGCCAGGACACACTACATATGAAATTAGCTTTCTATATTTGAATTATATACCTATTTAAGAATACTAGAAATTTGGTAATTTCTCCTCTGACTGGGATAAAAATCCCACTAATCCCATGCATAGTGGCAGCTAATCCCATGCATAAGATTCTATTGTGAAAGAATTTTTGGCCCTATAAAAATTGGAGAGTATCCATCTACAAACACAAAATTTATGGCCGCTTGATATTGCTAATCATGAACTTGCACTCGGGACCGAATCTTAATGAAACACTGGATTTGTGAAGGATAAACCAGGGGACTAGTAACTAAAATTTTCCCCAAAAGAAGTATTAATATTGGCATGCTGTTCACAGGAAACATTGCAATTCGTAGAAGAAGGAAACAAGACTAATAAAAATTACAATTAGATCCTTATAGTGATTGCATCACCATACATTATTTATTGAATACCATAATTAACCTTTAACAAAATTACATTTGTTTTTTTTTCTTTCTGGTTAAGGACATTTGTTATTCCAGCATATTTAAATATACTTTTTCCTAAATTGGTATAAACTGACACTCAAATCCAAACATGCCTCTACTCCTTAC